AGAAAGTAGATCATATAGCTCTAGCATCTACTTCAGAGAGCATGGAGACTAATAAGACCATTTAAGAAAAAATTAGAACACATAGATGATAAGATATCTCAATATCCTAACTCTAAGGGGTTTTTTGAGACTCAAAGCGCTGTATTAGAAAACTTGAACAAAAGCATAAAAGAAAAACTGGACCAATGTTGTGTGAATACTAACGCAGGCAATGGCATAAATAGAACATACAGAGATGTTCTTAATTCAGGAAACACTCCTCGATCAATAAAGAATACCAAAATTATTAGGCCATCTACAGAAGTCCTCCTGGTTTATCAAAACGGCAAAGATACTAGGTGTAATAGACTCTGAAATCTTATCTATAAAAAAGTAAATCCATTGCAACATTAGTGTAGCAAGAATAAGAAATATTGCAAGAAGCAGACTTGTGATTGAACCTGATAAACAGGAAGATGTTGTTAAGCTAAAACAATATATTGACCATAATATTCCAGAGATAAATGCTAGAGTTCCTAAAAAGCTATTACCACAAATCATCGTGCACTCAGCACCTGCACATGTTAATCGTGAAGAAATACCTATGCTAATTTTAAGTCAAAATGAAACTTTTAACAAATTCCTAAGGAAGACTTTAATAAGGAATTTACCATTAAATTTGTTATGGGAAAGAGGACTGATGCATTTGTTAACTGGGTCATTGAAATCTCACCTAGCCTTTGTGAACTCTTTCTATGACTGGCAAACTTAATTTGGTGTGGTCCCACTGCAGAGTTGCAGACTTTCATTCTATTTTGCAATGGTTTCGCTGTCTTAGATATGGTCACTCCACCAAAAACTGCGGCAAGACTACTCCCACCTGTATCCATTGCTCGGGTGAGCATTTTTATGGAGAATGTAAAAATCTTGAATCCTCCCCAATTTGCTGCAATTGTAAACATAGTAAGAATGGTTGCTTTAATCATAATGCTCGTGATGGCACATGCCCTCTTTTCTGGAAAATAAAAACCAACCTAATCAACCGTACTGATTATGGCTTGCCACATCAATAATCAGATTTGTTTTCTGCATACAGCATACATATATAATACTGGGTGGAGCATAGCCGCCACTTCTGTGTTAACATCAATTATTCATAAATATGACATCATTTTTTGTCAAGAGCCATACTGCATAAATAACGTCCCTGCTTTTTTTTTTTTACCAACTGTATCTTCCTTCAAGGTACCAATATATATCTTTCGGCTGTTTCCATCGCCCTTGGGGATGATCTTTCCCTCCTTCACCACAGTACTATTAGCACACAATACGTCAGTTGTACTGAGTTGGTTATCAATAATTGCAGACACATTCTTATCAATTATTACTGCTCTAAAAATATTTGTATTGAGGATATACTAGATTACATTCAAAACATTATGGGTAAATTTATAGATGTTTATTACATCTTGGCCGGAGATACAAATGCTCATTCTCCTATTTGGGGAGGGGATCGTTTGGACTCATGTGGACAATACGTTGAAGAGTTCCTGGCATGTAATGACTTATCGGTTGTTAATTAAATTAACGATCCTTTGTCTCCACCTACTTTTGTATCTAGCCAAGGCAGTAGCTAGATAGATGTGACTGTTCCTCTGGATTATATCCACACATACAACAGTGGAAGTACTTGAAGAATCACTTGATGATCATGCCCTGATTTCTTTCAATATTGAAATTACCAGTACAGATGAATATAGACACGCTTGTTGCAGGTTTAATCTGAAAAGAGCTAATTGGAACGACTTACAGACTTATCTCATTACCAACCTAGTAGACTGCGAGGGCGACAGTCCTCATGAGGTACGTAATCGCATTGATTATAATATTGAGATCATCAATAATGCATATAAAAATTTTATTCCTCAATTCACAAAAACTCACAAATCTGTCCCTTGGTGGACAGTTGAACTTACTAATCTTAGAAAGAGGAATATTCAACTTAGGAAGAGATTTCAAAATTGCCATACAGAACCTGAGTGCACAAACCACAAGATACAATACATCAACCACCTCAAATTCTATAAAAGCAAAATAAAACTAGCTAAGAAACAAACCTAGAAAGATTTTTGTGAGCTGCTGCGGATAACCCATGGGGATTTATTACAAAATTGTGTACAAATAAACTTAAAATGAAACAAATCTTATATTCCACAAATAAAGGGGAATGATCAATTTGCTGACGATCACGCCAAAATATTATATTGTGAAAAAGGGAAGGCACTGAGGTCGGCGTTATGTGTGCGTTTTTTATTCGCTAGTACTTTCGACGAACATATAGCCGTCGTCATCAGGCGAATTATCGAAAGAATTAAACGGAAATAATCCGATTTGGAATAGAACGCTTAAATTTAAGATGAAACTTTAGTAAAAGTCGTTAGGAACACGATAGAAATATTCAAAAATGTTCGAAAANACAGCACTTAGTGTCTGTGTTTTTTGATATAGAGAAGGCCTATGATTGCTGTTGGCGATATGGGATACTCCGTGATCTGGACCATTTCAGATTGCGGGGTAATTTGCCAATTTTCATAAAAAACTTCTTAGAGAATCGAAGATTCCAAGTCAGGATGGGCAACACTTTATCTAGGCCTTTCACGCAACAAGAAGGTGTTGTTCAAGGCTCTATTTTGAGTGTGACTCTGTTCCTAATTAAAATTAATAGCATAGCTAACTGTCTTTCCCCTAGTGTGAAACAATCTTTGTATGTGGATGACTTTCAGATCTCCTGCCAGACATTTTGGGCCAGAGGCCAAATCTGGATAATATACTGGACTTTCTAAAAGTCATTAATATGTATAGGAAATCTAATGATTTATTTATTGTACAGTTTTATTTACTTTGAGTTGCATATTTAAATTATTGTATATATTTTTTGTTGTTGTTTACTTATTTTTGTTGTTGTTTATTTATTTATTATATTCTAGATTTTATATTTATATTACCATTGGCTTTTTAATGGTTAAACTGTGATGTTTCGTTTATGTGTATATATGTGTTTTATTTTAGATTCTATATTTATATTACCATTGGCTTTTTAATGGTTAAATTGTTATGTATCGTTTATGTGTATATATGTGTTTTCCTATTTATTTTCTACTTTCAATTGTACCATGTGTCATGGCGCAGTATAGCCTGCATTGCTTTTGTGCCAATAAAAATTAACCAACCAACCAACCAACCTGAAAGTACTAGTGAACATTCTCATACGCTGAAAGTTGATATTGGTAACGCAACAACATTTAGGCAATATATAATAACTACACTTATCTCTAATATTGCTGGTAACCTTACCGATGATAATGATAAAAATCTACAAAATTATTTTAATATTGTCACACTGGCTATAATTTTTAATCATGTTCTATTTTAAATATAATAATAATAAAGTTAATTTTCAATGCTGAATCTGAAACTGTGATCACTCTTTTTCTTTGGTAACTTTAGTTTTCATGTGACTTCTATCACAGAAAATGTGAGATCATGTAAATATTGTACACCTTAGAAGGTTAAATGATATTGTTGATTAATTTATTGTAAGGATAAATTCTATATCAAATGTTTCATTTTATATTAAGGTAAACATTTTGAATTGAAATCATGTGACTTCCAGTTCAAACTGGAAGTTTGTATATAGTTAATTGGGGCCTCTAACCCTTAAGTTTTTTATATTTGGTCTCAATTTTCATCTATGTAACTCTGTCCTTGAGATTAACAAATGATGGATGGACGGACAGACAGATGATAGTGGAAATTTATGCCTTCAATTTGAAAATTGTAACCCAATAATAGTAATGTGTTGGTGAAGTATATCTTACCTGGCATATATACAAGTGCCTAGTTTTATGTTTAACCATAGTCAAGGCATAACTACAGAATATCCATAAATTTTGAACCAACTGGAGAGATAGATCACCCAAAAACTCATACTTTTAAAATCCAGCATAAATTTAATAAAATAAGCATGTTTTCAACCAGTTTCACTGACCTTTCAGTTACAATAGAAAGGAAAAATAGAAGAATGTGAATACAAAAATTTAAAAAAACTCAAGAACAATTGTAAAAGTACAAGAGTTCAAATACAAGGACATTATTTTAAAAAGAAATCTACAAAGCCGGCAGGACAGGGAGATGTATAAACACCAAAGACAGCAACACGCTTTCTTATGTTTGGCGTTACGTATGCGAAGAACAACAAAATGATGACGATATGTAACACGCGCATGAATTTGATTATATTTTAAAACTAAACATTCATTCTAAGAATGGAATCCAATTATTTTAACCTGAAGAAGACCTCGACTGAGGCCGAAAACGTTTGTTTTTACGAATAGTTTACAAGTACCGGACAGTAAAGGTTTAGTAAGTACGGTCTTTATCATTACATAATAATCTTCTTAGCGTTGGTTGTGTAGTTAGCAGAAAATAAAACCATTCGCTTTAAAAAGATGTACTATTTTAAGAGATACGGGACTTAAAAATGGTAACGGGGGGTGTGCTATTTTTAGCTGCTCTTTGTTAGTGAGAAAAGTTTGAGGAAATAGTTTATTTTTAACATGATTCCAGAGATGATAAAATTTTGATTGGGAGTAACCAGCTTCTTGCATCGCTCTACTAATAAGCTGTAATTCTTCTTCTACCAATGCTTAGTTTGAGAGGAGGAGGAAAGCTCTCCAATGAGTGAAGTTATAGCAGAGTTCACGTAATTTTTGTGTTGGAATGCCGTTGCAGGAATAATTTGCGGTATGTTGTTGTTTTTATGAAGTGCTTGTGAACTTATCCAAACTTTAAACAGTCACTGTTTGTAACGCCACAACATGTAAGTGTAACCTTTGATATTGAAAAAGTCAGTGTGAAGTGATAATTACATTTGATACACCAATTTGTGTTGTTCAATATCATTAACTATGAAGAAATGATTTTAAGTGATATTTTTGCTATAATATTATTACATTTATAAGAATGTTACAATGAATTTTCAAACGTGTTGAACTTTGACACAAATAATTTAAATAAAATATTTTTTTTTCAAACAGAAACAGAAAGACGAGTTCGAGCAAATGACCCAGAATTTCACTATCAGTTCAATTATGCTGTGAGTAATTTGATTTTTTTCAGACATTAGATATAGCTTAATAATTTTATTAAGAAATTTGATTATTTTTTTTATTACAGAATAATTATATAAAAACATCAAAGTATACTTTTTTAACCTTCTGGCCACTGAATCTTTTTGAACAGTTTCAGAGATTAGCCAATTTTTATTTTCTTTGTCTGCTTGTATTACAGGTAAGTTGATCATTTGTTATACAAGATTATCATAAATTAAAGAATAGATATTCAGAGTACTCTGTAGAAATAAATATTGGGCAAATATCATCCAAATATAGTGTATGTACTATTCTGAGTATATGGTTTTGATTTATGGGAAAAATTTTTATTTTAAAATTTAGCCAGTAGGCAAAATTTGGCACTGCTATCCCATTAGATGCATGTTACATATGTTTTTTTAATGAATTTTGGAAGTTAAGAAACAAAGTGAATTAATGTTATTCTAGTTACAGATGATTATATCAAAAAAGATATTATTTCATGTTCTCCATCTCCATGCTCTAAAATTACATTTGTTGCCCAACACACTTGATACTGGAATACAACTGACCTGCATGTAATTTTTGCATGTGTTGTGATATTATTTTTAAGACATCTAAGTTGGGAAGATTACCTTGATGAATGTGGCTCTTTAGGGCAATCCTTAACCAAAAGACATGGGGTTTTGGATCTGATCATTGTGGCAACAGTGACATTGGAAATAGTTGGCTGATCACTCTCTTGTGTGAAAAATTGGTGTAAGGCTTGTACATTTAAGCCTATATGTGGAATGCACTGTCTTGCATAAAAATTGTATTTGGACAATTTTTTTCTCAGTGCTGGAATGACAAAGTTTTGAAGCTTAGCTCTGTATCTGGCAGCATTAACAGAACATGTCACTGCCTTAAAAAATAAGGATAAATTACACAATATGTTGTAAAATATATTACACCATTACTTTGGTGAGTGCAATGGAATTTGTTGATAAACATGTGGATTTTTGTCAGCCAAATATGGCAGTCTTGAGTGTTCATGTCACCAAGCAAATGAAAACAAGCCTTGTCACTTCATAGAATTTTCCATGGCAATGCATCATTGACCATCATCTGAGTTATGAATGTTAGGGCAAATTTTTTCTGCTTATTGTCATCACCATAAATTAATTCTGAACAGTATCTTATATGAGTGGATGAGTTGGATATCATATGTGTAGGATGCTGTCAAATGAGCTCTGGCTTTTTATTGTGAGTTTTGCATTATTAAGTGTTTACTTTTAATGTGTTTGATGTTTTTGTGAATCGGAAGGTTGAAGTAATATTTATACATCAAATAGGACCTTTTAAATATAAAACTTTTAAAATTATGGCTGAAAAACTACTTTTTTTGGTTATCTGGAAATCACGTTTTCGATTAACCGGTTTTCATTACTGCACCTAATATGTCTTCCCATGTTGTCTTCGGACACAAAATTCGGGAGTCATCAGTTCATTATTAACAGAGATATCGGCTCTACTTCTGGTTGGCCTTGGAACGCCATTTTTGAGCTTCCGGTTGAGTGTATTGTTAAAACCTTTGGGCAATTATTTTAGGAACCTTTAAGCACACTCACCAGGAAATTTCATTAAAATCGGTTTAAAAAACGAACATTTTCTACCGTCTTCAACGGTCATCATCAGGTTCGAATCCAAGATTTCAAAAAATCGAACATTACAGTTATGCGCATGTCCAATGCAGGACCTTAATACAATTATTTGTGTAATTGGTTTCCTGCTTCAAAAATCCAATGTTGATATTATAGTGTAGACATATATGGTGTGCATCCATTATACGTCATAAAACGCCCTCCACGCCGTCGCCAATGAGTCTGTTTCCTTGAAATTGATGGCTGTTCCCTTTCTGAATGCTTTAAAAATTTCCAGCTGTTCTAGATATTTCAGGCTGGCCTGGTGTTCACACCGTTGTATTAAACATGCATTATCAAATTCCACCATGACGTCATCATCAAGCGCGAAAGCGGCCAAAGCCATATTGGAAAGGCGTTTTTGAATTGAGTACTTGTGTTCCTTCACCTTTGTTTTAAGTCAGCGTGTGGTAGCCCCAATATATTCACCCGGACGATTCACCCTATGATCGTAAATAGGGATAGAATATATTCCCGGAACACAGTTCCTATCAAGACGGTCCTTATAGTTTCGTAAACAGGAGAAAATGGTCTGCGATCTTCTGTAAGCGATATTTTTACTAGCATATCGAGCGATTTGCTTGTAGGTGCTATGAAGGATCTTGTTGTAAGTAATAGGAACGAAGGACTGGTTATTCTGAAGTGCCGTACTCTTAGGTTGTTGGTGGCGTGCTATAATTGCTTTAATTAGGTGCGTAGGGTAACCATGTAATTTTCTACCGTTGAAGACGGTAGAAAACATTCGTTTTTGAAATGAATTTATGCTGGTATGTTGGTAATTTCGTAGTTATATTCTTAATTCTCACACCAGTATGATGAATGATTGATTAAAATCGGTTATATAGATTTTGAATTATGGCTATTCTAGAATTTATTCCAATTCAACTTTTACTTCTTCTTTCTCAACTGGTGCCCATGGCAACGGTCTTGGAGTAGAAGCTTTTAGAAGATATTTGGGAAGTGATGTTTTCTAAGCTGTCTTTTGTTATATATGGACATATATATATTTTTGGAATCGCCTCGACATTAGGGAGTCAACGGTGACATCTATAATAAAATCGGATAAATATATATAGATTAAAATTATTATTTATAATTTTCTGTCAGGATTTCTCAAACTTCTCATTAAATTTTATCTTAATTATATCTAAATCCTATTATTTTAATAATTGGATATATATATCGGATATATATATATATATATCCGATCACCCACTGTATGTATATATATATACATACAGTGGGTGATCGGTTAAATATATATATATATCCGATATATATATCCAATTATTAAAATAATAGGATTTAGATATAATTAAGATAAAATTTAATGAGAAGTTTGAGAAATCCTGACAGAAAATTATAAATAATAATTTTAATCTATATATATTTATCCGATTTTATTATAGATGTCACCGTTGACTCCCTAATGTCGAGGCGATTCCAAAAATATATATATGTCCATATATAACAAAAGACAGCTTAGAAAACATCACTTCCCAAATATCTTCTAAAAGCTTCTACTCCAAGACCATTGCCATGGGCACCAGTTGAGAAAGAAGAAGTAAAAGTTGAATTGGAATAAATTCTAGAATAGCCATAATTCAAAATCTATATAACCGATTTTAATCAATCATTCATCATACTGGTGTGAGAATTAAGAATATAACTACGAAATTACCAACATACCAGCATAAATTCATTTCAAAAACGAATGTTTTCTACCGTCTTCAACGGTAGAAAATTACATGGTTACCCTACGCACCTAATTAAAGCAATTATAGCACGCCACCAACAACCTAAGAGTACGGCACTTCAGAATAACCAGTCCTTCGTTCCTATTACTTACAACAAGATCCTTCATAGCACCTACAAGCAAATCGCTCGATATGCTAGTAAAAATATCGCTTACAGAAGATCGCAGACCATTTTCTCCTGTTTACGAAACTATAAGGACCGTCTTGATAGGAACTGTGTTCCGGGAATATATTCTATCCCTATTTACGATCATAGGGTGAATCGTCCGGGTGAATATATTGGGGCTACCACACGCTGACTTAAAACAAAGGTGAAGGAACACAAGTACTCAATTCAAAAACGCCTTTCCAATATGGCTTTGGCCGCTTTCGCGCTTGATGATGACGTCATGGTGGAATTTGATAATGCATGTTTAATACAACGGTGTGAACACCAGGCCAGCCTGAAATATCTAGAACAGCTGGAAATTTTTAAAGCATTCAGAAAGGGAACAGCCATCAATTTCAAGGAAACAGACTCTTTGGCGACGGCGTGGAGGGCGTATTATGACGTATAATAGATGCGCACCATA